GCGTTCCCCGCAGGCGCGTGTATCTGCTGTCTCTTGGCTGGTTGCTGGGCCTGACCCGCCCGCCCGTGGCTTGCAGGKTCGCCTCGCTTGCAGGCACTCTATCATGCATTTGTAACGTAAGTTTTCAGTAAATTCATTCTCTCCCTTTTTCCCCCTAGCACCATGTATGTGTTTGGTGGTTTCAACAGTCTCCTCCTCAGTGACATCCTGGTATTCACCTCGGAACAGTGTGAAGCACACCAGGGTGAAGCTGCTTGTGTGGCAGCAGGACCTGGTGTCCGCTGTGTGTGGGACACAGGGTTGTCTCAGTGCATCTCCTGGGAGCTGGCAACTGAAGAACAAACTGAAAAGTTAAAATCAGAATGTTTTCCCCAAACAAGTGAGCTTTTCCTCTACTTAGAATTTAATTAGAAATCTCATTTGATCAGAATTATGAAGACGCTTAGCATTTGTACACTTCTTATGTTCACCTTATTATCCATACTAGTTTAGTAATAACTTGTGCAAAGCCTTTCTGGGTGTTTGAATATTGGTTTGTAAACATCTTTACATATGTCATGTAGCTCCTAGAAGCTGTCTGTGAATGATAGGGACACAACCTTCTTGGCATGCCATAGGCTTTATCCACCAGCTCCAAGACCTGACTGTAGTTGGTCCAAGGCAGTGCTATCCAATGGAACTTGTTTTGATAATGGAAATATTGCATACATGCCCTGTTCTAGTCTGGTAGCTACTTAGCCACATGGGAATCTCAGACACTGGAAAGGTGGCTAGTATGCCTGAGGAGCTGAATTTTTATTTAACTCCTGGCTACCATATTGGATTGTGGAGGTCTGACATTAAGGATGAGATTAGGAAGGCCAACCTAGAAAAGCCTATTGTAGATAGAGGAGTTGCCATCCTCACCAACTATTTTCTTGCTCTTTTAGTTGGATACAGCAGTGAGAACAAGACAGAGAGTTGCTGAGGATGAACGATGATCCCCACTTCTAGAAGCTCTCCTCATGTTTTCTAAGCTGTTTTCTTCACCTTGTCTGCTTAGCTTCTTGCCCTTTTGTTCTGACATATAGCACAGAACAACAGTGAAGAAATGTGTGAGAAAGTCCTTTCTAAATAAGAAGGATGTCTCTGCAAAATATTTGTTCACATCAGTTAAATATGTTGACTGAATTCCATGGCTAGCAGGATGGGTGTTGCCGTTATTGTGACCATTAAGATGGAGAGAGGCGGCTTTTATTCTCCTGGGATGCTCCAAATTAATCTGTGCAGCAACATAAATTAGTAAGAACACCCAGGCAACCAAGTTCATTGATGGAGAACAGAATTACCAGAACACTGTGGGATTAGTCATTGTCTCCTAAAAAGGATAAAATCAGTGCAACAGTTATTTTTAACCAAATTTTTAAATGTTCAAATTAAATGTGCAAGTGTACATGGGAAATAATGTTGAATTATCTTAGATGATTCAGTATGAGCCCATTTCTTGTCATCTCATGTGAAGTATCAACTCCTTGTTTCACTCCATGCCACAGTCCGGCTGCAGCAAAATAACTGGGGGTGACAAACAACTTGTGTAGATTGATACAGCTGGAGTGGGAGCCATTTATTGTAGGACAGGAGGGGTATTTATACATTCCACACAGCTTATCTTCATTAACATAAACTAGATACAGCAGTCAACCAATAAGGAATCTCCACACTTAATGGCTCGCTGGCGTTACTTCACAAACCACTCCCTCTGGCAAAATGCCAGGCGCCATCTTGACTTGTTTACAGACCCAAACAACTCCACTCTGTGCAGAGGTGGTCGTACTCCTTTGATGATGACAAGAGAAGGAAGAGCAACCTAAGGGGTATACTGCTGGGGCCTTTAAGAGGGTGGGCCATGGACCCTCCCATTTACTCTTTTTTTTTTAAAGTATTTTTTTAGTTGTAGATGGACACAACACCTTTATTTATTTACTTATTTATATTTTTTATGTGGTGCTGAGGATCAAACCCAGTGCCTCACACATGCTAGGCAAGTGCTCTACCACTGAGCTACCACCCCAATGCCCCTCCATTTACACTTTCTGGGTTTCACCATGTGCGGTGTCTAGAGGTGGTTCAGCAGATGAGGCAGCATGGTGGTGCAGCTTCTCTTTTCTGGGGTCAACAGGAAGTGCACCAGGTCTGCAGTCACCCCAGGGTTCTGCAGCTTGCATTGTGGAAATCACATAAATGTGTACAAAATGCAGCATGACTCAGCTCACACTTCCCTTGGGGTCCAGGCACTGCCTGCTGCCTGTGCCCAAAATGAGCTTTGGTGTTTGTAACTGGAGGAATGGATTGGTCTCCTTTGTAACTTTCTTTGGCTCCTGGGCAGTTTCTGATGTTTATTCTATTCTAGTTGGTTTTTCTTAGGAAAAAAATATTCAGATGCCCAGATCTTATTTCCATTCTTAGACTTGTTAAATGAACTTATTTTTGCTTTTTACTTCCTGTTTGATCTTTTTAAGTGAAAAACATTGTTTCTTCAGATTATCTCAAGTCTTATTTGTTTGTTTGTTTTAGGAGTTACTAAGGATTGAACTCAGGTGCACTTGACTGTTGAGCTATATCCCCAGCCCTATTTTGTATTTTATTTAGAGATAGGGTCTCACCAAGTTGCCTAGTGCCTCACTTTTGCTGAGGCTGGCTTTGAAATCTTGATCCTCCTGTCTCAGCCTCCCAAGACTCTGGGATTACAGACATATGCCACTGTGCCTGGCTCTAAGTCCTGTTTAACCAGAACATCCAAGTACATTTTTCTTCCAGTTTCACACTTTATTTTCTTTCCCAGACATTGTTAGGGTTTTTTTAAAAAATTTTAACCCATTTCAGATTGTGCTTAGTAGAAGCCATCACAGTTGATGTTTCTTCTCTTCCTAGCCCTTGACCATGACAGATGTGACCAGCACACAGATTGTTACAGCTGCACGGCCAACACCAATGACTGCCACTGGTGCAATGACCATTGTGTACCTATTCATCTCAGTTGCATGGAAGACCAGGTCAGGGGTCATCTCTCAAGGATTTCAGAGGATAAAAATATCCTAATTGTGTTTAGGTGTAGGTTGAATATATGGCATATATAATGGCCCATATTGGTTTGTTTTCAATATTTTTTCTTTTATTAATACATTATAATTATACATAATAGTTGGGCTGGATTTTTTTTAATGAGATGTAGATTTGGATTTTGTATTAGATCAGGTTTTCTTTTAGGTAAGGATGCTGAATACATCCTGATTCAAGGGTCTCACTAGCCCTGGGAATTTGTGTGTGGTGATTTAAAAGAAGGTAGGACTGTGGTCTGGGGACTAGTGTCCCTGGGTGTGGCTATGTTGAAGTACCCGATCCTTAGTCTGAGTCTTGTGACAATGAGCTCACTCAATCTGTGTAAGTTCTTGGGAGAAGGTTTGGGCTTCAAGCAGGTGTGTCGTGGTCCATATTGAATTGGGGAATTGATAGGCTTTGCAAATTCTCCTTTTTTTATGTTATATCTTGGCTCAGCATAATTTCGGTGCTCCCCGTAAATGGTTTTAAAAATTTAGGTTACACTAAGACCAAAGAAGATAAGATGACCCAGCCTTTATACTTTGTCAGTTTATTGCTGTTTATAAGCAAACTTTAGACTGTAGGGGGCATTTGAAAAGCAGTGTGTTCCACAGCCCCATTTTACCAATGAGCAATTTGAGGGATGCTGTTTAAAAGAGTAGGCTGCTTCCTTGCCAGTTAAAGGCATTTTCTTGAGCAGAACATTCTACTACAGTGTTTCCACCACAGAGCTGTTCATCTGCATTTTATTTATCTCTTTATTTGAAGTTTGTGTCCTCAATTAGATTTTGTCTTTACAACTATTGGTCACTACTAGGAGTTATCTCTATGAATATGTTCTACTTTGAATATGTTCTACTTTCTAGATTTCCATTTCTACATATGAGAATTGCCCCAAGGATAACCCTAAGTACAGTTGTGTCAAGAAGACCAGCTGTAGGAGCTGTGACCTGGACCAGAAGTGCCAGTGGGATCCCCAGAATCAAGAGTGCATCTCCCTGCCTGGTAAGCCTTGCTAGGCACCTGGGGAATGGGTCCAGAACTTTGTCTGCTCCCTGAATCTTATGCAGACTTGGTTGTAACCTAACAGAAAGGAGGGGCCTATTCTATCAATTCATCCCTATCACCAGTGTTTTGTTTTGTTTTTTTAAAGAGAGAGAGAGAGAGAGAGAATTTTTAATATTTATTTTTTAGTTTTTGGCGGACACAACATCTTTGTTTGTATGTGGTGCTGAGGATCAAACCCGGGCCGCATACATGCCAGGTGAGCGCGCTACCGCTTGAGCCACATCTCCAGCCCCAGTGTTTTGTTTTTGTTTTTTAAACTAAAATTCAAGTCTTAAGTATACACTCTGACTGTTCTTGACATAAAGTCTAGCATCATCTGCTCCTCTGGAGAATGAAATGATTCTGGGTTCATGTCAGTGAATCTGCTCCTTCCCTTGACACCCACCTGGCTGTGATAACTGAGACTAGAAGTCTGTAGTCTCAGCTGCCAGACTTCTGGGCACTGTATGGAAGAGTGTTACTGAACATGGGGATTTGGTTGTTGGCACCTCTTGAGGGGCTTCTCTGAGCAGAGGGAGAGGCAGATTTCTGTGTTAGCAGCAACTCTGAGGTGACTGCCAGTCCTGAGTACCTGGTTTATGGCATCCTGAGGTTTAAGGTGATGACTTTGGGGTGGCCAGCCGACTGAACCCCTGATATATTTACTCCAACCAGATGTCCAGGAAGGGGGAGTTTTGTGGCACTATGCAACATCTGAGGCATGAGCAGGCCACTTGATCTGAACCAGGGCCCTTTTGAGTGTCCTTTGGAGTAATGTAGTTCAGCTTGCAGAATGGGCTTCTTGTTTGTTTACTCTTGTTCTGAGTCTCAGACATTCATGTATAGCAAAACCCCTGGGATCTTTCCAAAAGTCATGTTCTGTTACAGGCCTAGGGTGGGGCCCTAGAGCCTTCATTTTAACTTGTACACGATGATATGAAAACAGTGCAGCATTTGAAGACTTTAGATTTATTCATTCCAAACTCATTTCCATGTTTGCTGTTCTGTACTCCACCTTTCCATTGTCATATTCATCTGTCTGCTCTCCGCTCAGGAGTTAGTCTTTCTAATTGTTCTTCTAAAAGATCTGCCACCAAGTATTGACACTAAATGGGTTTTCCTCCAAGTGACTGGAGAGTTGACTTCAGAATATACTTCATGAGACCCAGTAGATAGGACTGACAAACTTATCTCTTGCTTTCTGTGTCTGGAAGTGAATAATGTGTCTCTTGCCCTTGCCACATTCTTAACGAAGCACCTAGAATTCAAATCACAAGGATCATTTAGGTGTTCAGGAACTTGAACTAGGTATATAGTAGTTTTGTGTAATTTCTAAAGCTGTTTTTTTTTCTCTCCCCCTTTGTTAAAGAAAATATCTGTGGCATTGGCTGGCATTTGGTTGGAAACTCGTGTTTGAAAATTACTACTGCCAAGGAGAATTATGACAATGATAAGCTGTACTGTAGGAACCACAATGCCTTCTTGGCTTCCCTTATAACCCAGAAGAAAGTGGAATTTGTCCTTAAGCAGCTGCAAATAATGCAGCCATCACAAAGCACGGTGAGTGAATCCTCAGAACCTAAGTGTCTCTTACCCACCTTTCTGCTGAGGGCATGACCACAGCTGGTGCATGGAAGGCTGTGGGTGACGGATGTGCTGGGAAGAGGAGGAAGGCCACGATGCGTGGCGTAGTAGATGTGGCATTAAAGGAAGGTCAATCTCTTCCTTTAATGGTTTTTACCTGACCTTGAAACTTTTAATACTTCATATATTTTCTTAAGTCATATTTATTATAACATGAAAAGTAATATGAGAGATGAACAGTGACGTGTGTATGTTTGTGCACATAGTCTGGTGACATCACTAGATAATTCCATAGCTATTTTATCTCTAGATTCTGCTGGAGTAGAGAGCAATGGGATCATAGCTAATTAGGTGTCATATTTAGACACTTATGTCCTTTAGATTTAAGCTATTATTTTAGTACATGTTGTCACCACCACTAAAACATTTATATCTGTTTGGGTCTTTCTAGATCTGGCAGCCCAACAAAAGAGGGCATCTTCTTATGAAGGGTTTCTGAGCTCATAAAGGCTCATGTTTTCTTCACTGGTAGAGTCAGCTCTGCCCATCATGCTGGGATTTCAACTGGTGACTCTCAAGTCCACCTCTGTGGGAGACTACGTGGGTAGAAAGGTTCCACTATGCCAGCTGGCCACAGATGTACCTCTGTTCCCTCTCCCCTCTTCTTCAAGTGTTTTATCCCTAACAGGTTCTGGGTGGTACTTTTCAAAAACTGAACCCCACACTCCTATGAAAAGGCTAACAGATAAAACAACTAGTGTAATGTGCTCCCCATAGGTTAAACTCCAGATGTGGCCCAGTCTGTAGAGCCCAGTTGTGTATGAAACAAGCAAGATAGGGTAGAGGCTGTCTGGTAGAGCTGGGAAGAGGTAACTCTGAAGGTGGGAAGGAGTGGATGGAAAGGGAAGAAGGACGGGCTCCCTGTGCGCTGGTACCTTCTCATACAAGGCATAGAGTTTGAGGGAATAGCTCACTGAGTGAGCTGCAAATTAGCTTGTGTGGCTGGGGCAGGTTGGATGAGAGAAAGATGCTGTAGCTGGGCTTCAAGAAGGGCCCACAGCCAAATCCAGAGATACCTTGTCCACAATGCTAATGGACCTGCATTTTATCAGGAAAGCAAAAAGACATTATGAAAAGACTTATAAAGTGTATCTGCTAAAATTATGTTTCTTTTTAAAAAATACACATTTAAAAGAAATTTAGAAAATACTAGTAAAAGAGTAAGAAAACAAATAATGTTTGTTAATACCACTAAAAACTCTTTTGGAATGTATTTATTTATTTCAGGTCTTTTAATAAGTATATATATTTTTCCTCTCAAAAATGAAAGTACATTTTATATTTTGTTTTTCAACTGCAAAAATTTATTCTTAAGGTATTCTTCCTTTCATTTCTGGGTTCAAAATTATACTTAATTTAAAAAAAATTTTAAAGCACAATGGCAAGGAAATTTTAGGAGAATAGGAGACAAAAACCATCCTAGGTGTTCACTGCTCTTTTATTCTTTATAAAATCCAGTATCAAATGAAGCAATAGATTTAAAAAGGCAGTAAACACTGTCTGATCTGGGGATAGACAGAGGATTATGATTCATCCTTTCAAAATAAGGAAATACTGTCATTTGCAACCACACAGATGGATGTGGAGGATCTTACACTGAGCGAAATAAGCTAGTCCCAGAGAGATAAATACAACATGACCCTGCTTATATGTAGAATCTAAAAAAGTCTAATTCACAGAAGCAAAGAGCACAATGGTGGTTTCCAGGCCTTGAGAAGTGGGGTGAGAAATGGGAACATGGTGATCAAAATGTCCAAAGCCTTTTTTGACATAAGATGAATAAGTTCTAGAGATCTAATATAAGCTATGGTGATAATAGTTAAGTATCATATACTTAATCTTTGTTCAGGACATAGATGTTACATGTTCTCACTACATACACATACATATGGTCCTGCAATAGTAAATATGAGAGGTGATGGATGTCAGTTAGTTGATAGTGGCAACCATCACACAATGCTTAGCTTCTGATCTGAGGATAGACATATAACCAATATTTTATAAATGTTGGGGAAATGACTTCATGTGTGAATGGGCATTTAAACCCAGTGTGGGGTGATGACCATTTCTTCATAGCATTTGTCACAGAGTGTAGAAATTTTGGAACTTGATTATCACTTTGGATACAGATCTCTGTGAAAATTTTGATACCTCTCGTCTCTAAGCTTTGTATTTGTCCTTTGTAAAATGGCCCATATTAGAAGTGGTGATCTATACCAATGCCTGAGTTTAGGGTATAAGGAGGCTTTCCTGTACCTGTGAGTGTATCTAACTTAGTGGGTTTTATCAAGTAGCCTGTTTGGTCAAGATATTGGTTGTTTTCATAATTGTGTCTGTTTTGCCCTCAGTCTAAGCTCACCTTAACCCCATGGGTTGGCCTTCGGAAGATCAACATGACCCACTGGTTCTGGGAAGATATGACTCCATTTACAAATAGTTTACTACAGTGGATGCCATCTGAGCCCAGTGATGCTGGGTTCTGTGGAATCTTGTCAGAACCCACTGTTCGGGGATTAAAGGCTGCAACCTGCAATAACCCCCTCAATGGCAGCATCTGTGAACGGCCTGGTAAGGACACTGGTGATAGGTGCTCCAGGGAGTTTGAAAAAGAAAGTATAGGAGTCATAGTTAGGTATCATTTTTATTTTAATGTATTTACTTTTTATTTTTAAATGATACTGGAGGTTGAACCCAGAGGCACTTTACTACTGAACTGCATCCTCAGCCCTTTTTATTTTTTATTTTAAAGCAGGGTCTCACTCCCTTTTTTATGTCTTGCTAAGGTGCTGTAGCTGGCCTTGAACTCCAAATCCTCCTACTCAGCCTCCTGAGTTCTTGGATTACAGGCAGGTGCTACCACACCTGACATATTTTAAATTTTTTATTGCGCATTATAATGATGCATAATAGTGGGATTCATTATGCCCTATTCATACATGCACATAATTTACTCAATCTCCTTCCTTAGTAACTTCCTTTTCCAACTCCCAATCTATTTGCTCCTTCTATTATTTTTTATTAGTGAATTATCATATGTAAGTGGGATTCATTGTGGTATGTTTGTGCTTAGACATAATATAATGTCTTTTTTCATTCTTCCCTACATAGTTAATATTGAGATGTGTGAAATTGTTGTGAAGACAGACGGAGAATTGATTTCAGGCATATTTCAAGTAAAACCCAGAATTTTAAAAGCAGAAGGAAATAGTCTGTGGCTTTGACTAGTTTGAGCCATAAACAAAACCAAAAATAAATAAATTTATTTGAAAATCTATTACTCTAATTAACATGGAGATTGTTTGGTTTCTTGACCACAAAAAGTGTTGAGAATTGCCCCCAAGGGCAGATTTCTTAGTGGTGGCAGAAAAATGCTGTGGAAGAAAACAAAGGAAAATAAAAACAAAAGATGAGAAAAGCAGGAACGTCACTGCAGGACAGTAATCAGGAAGCCAGTGTGGAAGGGAGGAAAAATGATGAGAGAGTTTCGTGACAGGAGACAGAAGCCAGTCCAAAGGGTGTGAGAGCTGTGGCTGAGTACTGAATGGTCGAATGTTTCAAATAGTTTTTTAATTTGCATGTCTCTGGGGGCTAAGTCTAGGCTCCCTTAGCTGCAGGCACAGGGGCAGCCTCAGTGGCACATAGAAGAGTTCAAAACTAGCTTTTCCTTTCTGCATGGGGCTCCCATGAAATAACTGCAATATTTAATGATTTGGGGATCAAATATACTGTAAGATGTTTGAGGGATACAGAAGTGTAGAAGATAATTTGTAGTATTGTAGGAATCACCTTAAAACAAGATTTCTAAATTTTGTAGGGGAGCTTTTCAACTTTTTCTGAATTCTAAATGCTTTGATGAATTTAGTGCATGTAGAGGTCCCACTTATCCTCAAAATTATAAACACAGGACTTTACAAATTCAGATGGATTGTAAAACTCCTAAAGTTCACCCAGGGTCCCCTATATTCTTCTTTTTTTAAAAAATATATTTCTGGTGCATTATAATTATACATAATTATGCAATTTACTGTTACATATTTGTATATGTACATGATATAATAGTATAATTTTATTTTCCCCCATTCCCTCCCATCCTCTCTTCTTCTGGTCCCTTTCTTCCACTCTACTGATCTCCTTTTGATTTTCATGAAGTCCCTCCCACCGACACACACATTGTTTTCATTTTTACTCTCTATCTTCCACATATGAGAGAAAACATTTGACCCTAGACTTTCTGAGTTTGGCTTATTTCACTTAACATAATGTTCTCAACTTCATTCATTTTCCTTCAAATGACATCATCCATTCATTATGGTGCAATAAAACTCCATTGTGTATGTTTCTATGTATTTTCTTTATCCATTCTTTCATTGATGGAAAGCTCCCCTATATTCTAAAAGGTTTCAGATCCTACATTTGTTGAAAGATTTTCTTATTCCTTCTTTTTTGTCCTCAGTGCCCTTTGAATAGAAAGTCCCTTTCTTCCCTGAGTGTGTAAAATACCTTGACCAAACAGTACATGATGAATCCAGTGTTTTCTGTTTTCTCCATGTCATGTAGTGCCTGAATTGAGTTCATGGCACACTATTGGGTCACAACTCACACTTGAAAAGTCTCTGACCTTAGTGAAGTTCTTCAATGTCCCTCTTGGGTTTAATTCCCAGCAAACCACAGTGCCAAGCAATGCCGGATGCCGTGTGCCTTGCGGACTGCATATGGGGAGTGCACCAGCAGCAGCTCTGAGTGCATGTGGTGCAGCAACATGAAGCAGTGTGTGGACTCCAACGCCTACATGGCCTCCTTCCCTTTCGGCCAGTGTATGGAGTGGTATACCATGAGCAGCTGCCCCCGTGAGTGCMAAAGGGAGTTCTGGCACTCTTGAGTGCCTGGCATGTGGTGACAATTGTGTTGACAACTGTGGCATGGGGCAGTGTTCATAATCTTTGAACATTTTATGGGCTAGTTGGATTTGACCTTCTACTCAAGTCATCTAGTCCTGCATGATGAGAACCTGCATACAGAATTGCACAGTGATAMATGTAAATAAGTCAAGTAAATCTAGGATAGATCACAGAATAGAGAAATGAACTCTTCAACTTCAGGGTTATATTATTCAATCTGTGTAATGTCTCTGCCTCCTACTTTCCTAATTTATAAAATAATTGCTCTCTGGTAGAGGCCCTCTGAGGTTCCTTTTGCCTCCACCATCCTGGGATTAAGAGAGGAAAGAGGGACCCCTCTGATGTGTTGGGCAAATTATTGAGCTCTTTAAATTCATTATCTCACTTAAAATGGTCACTCTAGAGGAGTAATTTGGATTTAAGTTAGTCTGTTAAAGAAAAGGTTATTTAAAGATAATAAATTTAGTTCGACCTGATAGTGAATTGTTTACTGTTTGTTCTTTTAATAGCTGAAGATTGTTCAGGTTATTATACCTGCGGTCATTGCTTGGAGCAGCCAGGCTGTGGCTGGTGTACTGATCCCAGCAACACTGGGAAAGGGAAATGCATGGAGGGATCCTACAAAGGACCAGTGAAGATGCCTCCACAGGCCTCTGCTGGAASTGCCTATCCACAGCCCCTTCTGAATTCCAGCATGTGTCTAGAGGACAGCAGATACAACTGGTCTTTCATTCACTGTCCAGGTAAGATGCCTGCATATCCAAATTCAAGTTATTCATTACCTGTTTACAAAGAATACAAACTTGAAAGCTACACCATTCATATAAATTTCCTTTAAGTAAAAAATATCAGTAGCATCATTTTAGGAGAAAAGAGTTTCATTTAAAAAATATTTTTTAAATATTTTTTTTAGTTGTAGTTGGACACAATACTTTTATTTTATTTATTTATTTTTATGTGATGCTGAGGATCGAACCCAGCGCCTTGCATGCGCTAGGTGAGTGCTCTACCGCTAAGCCACAACCCCAGCCCTAAAAAATATTTTGAATGTGAACAAAAATATTGAGAACTTCACATGAGTTATTTTACAAACTTTTCTCATAAGATAATATATTCTTTATAAAAATGTTACAGATATACATGAAATAAAAAACTAGAGTTTCTCATTTTCTCTCCAATTCTTTATAAACAATTCAATATAGATATTTCCAGACATATTATTTTATATATTTTAAATTAAAGAATACTGTGCTATAAGTAGGTACATCATATATATTGCTCTGCAATTTGTTTTTTACTTAAAAACGCATCATGGTAATTGTTGGAAAAAATTAAAAATGAAATCTCCTGCCAACCCAGAAATTTATCTTCACAAATGTAGAAAAGAAAGAAAACTGTTTTCTTTTTAAATAAGCATTAAGCCATACTATTACACATCATAGGCACTCTACTAGTGAGATGAAAATATGGGGGGAAATTTTWAAATGACCAAGCATATGTAAGCAATAATATACATGACCTCAAAACAAACAATAACTTGTTGTCATGAACTTTAATTCTTCCTGTAGCTATGATTCCTGCACCATTTTTTTAAAGACTGTTTTGTTTTTACCATTGGATTTTCTTGGCACGTTTGTGGAAAATTAGTTTGCTGTGAAAAAACCAATTTGATAAAATTCTGTGCTCCTTCATGATAAAAACCCAGAATAAACTAAATATAGAAGGTTTATACTTCAATATAATAAAGGCTTATAAGACATACCCATTGCCAACATCAAACTGAGTGGGGGAAAAACTTCTCTAAAATCAGAAATGAGACAAGGGTGTCTACTCTTACCACTTTTATTCAGTATGTTACTGGAAACTAGCCAGAACAATCAGACAAGAGAAAGAAAAGAAAAGAAGGAAGTCACATTATCCCTGTTTGCAGATGATGTGATTCTATATCTAGAAAACCCTAACAAATCTGCCAGAAGTCTTTTAGAACTGATTAATTCAGTAAAGTAACAGGATACAAAATCAAGGTACATAAATTGGTAGCTTTCCTATACACCAACAAGGAACTTAGTGAGAAAGAAATCAGGAAAAAATGTCACTCACATAGTCTCAAACAACAACAACAACAAAATACCTAGGAATAAACCTAACTAAGGAGGTAAAAGATCTCTACCATGAAAATTATAAAACATAGAAAAAAGAAATTAAAGAAAACCCCAGAAGATGGAAAGTCATTGTTGGAGGCCGCAATCAGGTCAAGATGGTGCCTGGCAGTTTGCCAGGAGGAGTGGCTTGTGAGGCAACGCCACCGAGCCATCAAGATGATGGGGACTCCTTATTGGCTGATTGCTGTGTCTGTAGGGGAGCAATGCTATGATTGGATGATGCTTATTGAGTCATGATTTATGTAAATCAGTTAGATATATATATATCTCAGCTGTTCCGCAATAAAGCAGTTCCCATTTCAACCTTCAAGTTGCTTGTCACCTCCCGGTTATTTTGCCCAGCTGGACTGCAGCAAGTGGTGGCCCATACGGGAACTCTGGGATGCTCAGGGTTAAGTGACAAGGTAAGCTGCCTGTCCCTAGAAATAGATAGGATGGGAGGAAAGCTGCTTGCCCCTGAGGGCGAGAGGATGGATGGCCTTTTCAAGAAAATAGAAAAATTGATACAGTGTGGTTTTGTTTTGTTTTGTTTCGTTTTATCTTAGTGTGTTGTGTTGTCTTTGTTACGGAAATATGGGATCAGATAATAACAAGAATTGACAGATTGGATGATATCAAAATAAAAAGCTTCCATACAGCAAGGGAAACAATCAACAGAGCAAGGAGACAGCCTATGGAATGGGAGAAAATCTTTGCCAGTTCTTCATCCGACAGAGGATTAATGTCCAGAATACATAAAGAACTCAGGGAAATTGAACAACAACAAMAAAAAACCCTCACATAATTCAATTAATGCCGAAGTCTGGCTGGGCACAATTCAGGAGCCACTTGTCAAAAGAAACGAACTTTATTTTTTTTTTTTTT